ACTGTGTAATCATCAAGTTGATCTCCTTGTGGCATTTGCAAAAATTGAAAGTATCATTAACACAAGCACCATTTTGTCCACTCAAAGAAGGATAAATAGAATAATTCCAACTTCCCACTTAAAGATGGGCACCTTACTTGAGTCAGTGAAGGTTGCTTTGTCATCGAATAAAGCTTTTATCCTTGTTTTCAAAGCTTAACAACAAATTGAAGTGTAAAGAAATAATTATTATATTCCTGACTAGTATTCTTGTTTATCTCCTGGTGACTGTTGCAACATTTGAAATATCATTGACACAAGCACTACTTTGTCCACTCAAAGATGGATAAATAGAATTGCAACTTCCCACTCAAAGATGGGCGTCTTACTTGTGTCAATGAAGGTTGCTTTGTCACCGAATAAAGCTGTTATCCTTGTGTTCGAAGCTTAACAACAAATTGAAGTGTAAGGAAATTATATTTCTGAAAAATCTTCTTGTTGCAACATTTGAAATATCATTGACACAAGCACTACTTTGTCCACTCAAAGATGGATAAATAGAATTGCAACTTCCCACTCAAAGATGGGCGTCTTACTTGTGTCAGTGAAGGTTGCTTTGTCATCGAATAAAGCTGTTATCCTTGTGTTCGAAGCTTAACAACAAATTGAAGTGTAAGGAAATTATATTCCTGAATAATATTCTTGTTTATCTCCTGGTGACTGTTGCAACATTTGAAACATCATTGACACAAGCACTACTTTGTCCACTCAAAGATGGATAAATAGAATTGCAACTTCCCACTCAAAGATGGGCGTCTTACTTGTGTCAATGAAGGTTGCTTTGTCACCAAATAAAGCTGTTATCCTTGTGTTCGAAGCTTAACGACAAATTGAAGTGTAAGGAATTTATATTTCTGAAAAATTTTCTTGTTGCAACATTTGAAATATCATTGACACAAGCACTACTTTGTCCACTCAAAGATGGATAAATAGAATTGCAACTTCCCACTCAAAGATGGGCGTCTTACTTGTGTCAATGAAGGTTGCTTTGTCATCGAATAAAGCTGTTATCCTTGTGTTCGAAGCTTAACAACAAATTGAAGTGTAAGGAATTTATATTCCTGAATGATATTCTTGTCTATCTCCTGGTGACTGTTGCAACATTTGAAACATCATTGACACAAGCACTACTTTGTCCACTCAAAGATGGATAGATAGAATTGCAACTTCCCACTCAAAGATGGGCGTCTTACTTGTGTCAATGAAGGTTGCTTTGTCACCAAATAAAGCTGTTATCCTTGTGTTCGAAGCTTAACGACAAATTGAAGTGTAAGGAAATGATATCCCTCTACAATCTTGTGACTTTTAGAACCTTTCTGCACCATCATATTAAACTTGTTATTGTGCATGTATTCAAAGAGAAAGGGTTCCTTTTAACACTACAAGTCTCGTAACAAGCACTACATTTATTTCAATTTTGAACAATTCCCATTGGTAGTAAGGAAATGCAAGTTGTCTGCAAAAAATTAATATGAACATTAAATATTATTTTTGTACAGGTTTATCCTTGTGATAAACATCTACAGTCTCAGAAATTGGAGTGGAAATGTTTTGTACATTTCAGTGTCAAGGAATTTTTATATATTATTTTTCTGTCATTGCTATTGGATTCCGTACTCCGTTCCGTGATTCCGTTTCCTCATTCCAGATTAAGTATTTTACGGCTGCCATCTTCGCCATTAAAATGTGCATGCAGCAACTATGTCTTTATTGTAAAAGAAATCAGACAAAGACGTGCTTTACAGGCATATGCTATCAAAGAAACTACAGGCAACATACAAAGGTCAGATCTGTACGAAGCAACTCGCTGTCGCATGAAGCTCACATGTGAAACGATTTTTATGATCGACATCGATGAAATGCTCCCAAAGCTATTACATAGACTTAAATATGCCTCTATATATTTAAACAAGATTCAGAATGTACTTACGAAACAACAAGGATCCACAGTTTAAAATAAGCGTTCTTTCTTCTCAATGATAGTTGAAACACTCAGGGTGCATTCGAGTCGCGAAGAGTGAACACTGAACTCCTTCATCACCGCTTCCATGGGATTTGGCGTTTCGTTTAAATAGTTTTTCGAAGTATTATTTCTCCCTGCAGTCTATCTCCGCAATCTATCACACTCTCCTCGCTTATCTTGACAAAAAAATGGTCCTGCATGAACAAACCACCAAAATGGAAGGCGAACCGACAGCGAAGAATGTTCAAAAGGGCGCGCGATTCAAAATCCAACGTGAAAACGAGGCACGCATGCTCGTAACACTCGCGCCCCCAGAGCGAGGCAAAATGCGTGCAAGCGTTATAATTTATTTGGCTGTTTCTAAATTGTTTCAAATTACGCGTCAATGTTTGGAGCGCTAGTAATTTTAATGACACATCTTTGAATCTCTGAAAAAAGGAAGACAGAGAGAATCATCTATCACTTTTCCAGTATTTACGACGTGTAGTTTAGCGCAGGCGATTATCTCTGTTCTTTTCGGATATTTTAGGTCAATGCAATGATTCCTCATCTTGCCTGAAGCGTAATCAGTACAGTTAAAACAAATTTTATTATATGAAAAATATTAAAAATAGTGCTGTTGCCGAGAAATCCTTGGCAGCACATCGCCTACTTAAAATTAAATCAACCGAAGATAAAAGCTACCAAATTTCCGCAGAAAATTGTCTGCGGAAACGCGACTGATACGGCCTTGTACATTTCAGCCAACGGAAACGTTGCGGAAACGCTGCGGAAACGCGAAACGCGACCTCATTTTGCTCTTACGTGTTTCCGCCCTCCGGAAATGTGACGGAAACTTGAACCATCAGATTTCCGCAAGATTTCCGAAATACGGAAACGCCTTATTTCACCCTGTGTGAACAATTGAAAATGAGTGAATTTAAGTAAAATGGCCAGTTTCAATATAAGCTTAAGCTTAAATGAAAGGCAAAGTAGCTCCGACAAAAAGCACAACAAAAGCTTACGTCTCGTTCTTTTTTTCCCTTTCCGCTGTTGTTTCGCTTGCTCTCTACCGTTTTCTTTATCGACAGCGAAACAAACGAAACTATTCCACTCCATTTCCGAATGTTTTTCACTTTTTTAGCGAGAAAAACTCTTTGAGTAAAACTTTTCTCGTTGAATGTGTGCAAAGCGGCGCTGCAAGCTGCAATAAAAGGCGGGAATTTTGGCGCGAAACTCACACACCTCTGTGGCTTCTGATTGGACGTATCATTTTTCTCACACGTGAAAAAACATCGTTCGCGATTCTGATTGGACGTATTATTTTTTTCACGAGTGAAAACCATCGTTCGCTCCTCTGATTGGCTAGAACTGATTTGCGTACGAAAATTTACGACATAGCTTTTTGGTGAGTATTTCTCAGTATGTATATAATAAATAAACGGACTTATTGTGTTTGATAGATAGAGGAAAAACATGCAAAGTAGTTCAACGTTTGGTGGCATCAGCGCAACGAGACGCAAGCGCCGTAAAACAACGATAACCCAAAATGGGATCCAGCAAATCATGAACGCAAACACAATTGCGAAAAGAGATTTACTGAGATTGATCTCATGTAAACTGAGGGACGATAACGCATTGATGTTGTGTTGTCGCATCACTTTCGCGACCCTTGTGTAGTTAAACAGACTAGTTATGAGCGGGATTAAAAATAAAATAAGAACAATGCTGTAATTGATCGTTTTTCCTATCTTGCTGAGATGACCAATGGAGCACTGAGCGTACCCTGGTACAAATTCGTACGCTTGAAGACCAGCCAGGCGAGGAACTACTGCGTAGCAAGCAACAGAAAACCAAACGATAGACAACAACAAAAGCAACTTTCCCGCACTTCTCACATATGATTTATTTCATATACACATAAAGGCATTTGTCACAAAAGCAAAATAACACAACTCAGTTGACATGTCAACTCAACCTAGCTCTAACATGCGCAGTTTTGCCGTTTTAAATCAATCCTGTAACGTCAAAATTACGTTACGGTTATAATAAATTTAGTAAATTAAAAGTATGTAAGCTAATAGATTAATAAGGAAACCTTGAAATACGACGTATTTAAGTAAAAAATGCAAATTTTTCAAAGCATGAATGCAAAAATCGGTTGCCATAAAAACGTCTCTGTTGACGAACACCTTAAAAAAACTTCTAAAAGGACACCACCTCCCCAATATGGGTGATTACTCTCTACCGTGGATTTTTCTAGCTTGAACAAAGTAAAACGCCACATTGCCTTGATGACGTCAAAAAAGGGATAAGTCAAAGAACAGCATTCCAAAACTTTTCGTCATAAACTGTAAACTAAGATTGCAAATAACAAAAAAGAAATTAAAAAACATTTAAATGGAAGAATAACGTAAGCAGAGAAAGTGAGGAGAAATAGATTTCATCCCTCCATTTTTCTGCTTCGGAAAAGCGTCTCATGTCTCAAGATTCCGTCTACAAAAAGCTTTGGCATGTACATAGAAAGGATCTAAACCTCATCAGTTGACATCTCTTTTCTACTGGAAAATGAAACGGCAAATTCACGATTTCGCCCGCAGCTATTTAAGTAAAAAGTGCAAATTTTTCAAAGCATGACTGCAAAAATCGGTTGCCATAGAAACGTCTCTGTTGACGAACACCTTAAAAAATCTTCTAAAAGGACACCACCTCCCCAATATGGATGATTATTCTCTACCGTGGATTTTTCTAGTTTGAACAAAATAAAACGTCACATTGCCTTGATGACGTCAAAAAGAGGATAAGTCAAAGAAAAGCATTCCAAAACTTTTCGTCATAAACTGTAAACTAAGATTGCAAATAGCAATAAAGATATTAAAAAACTTTTAAATGGAAGATAAACGTAAGCAGAGACGATGAGGAGAAATAGATTTTATCCCTGCATTTTCCTGCTTCGGAAAAGCGTCACCCGTCTCAAGATTCCGTTTGCAAAAAGATTTCGCATGTACAGAGATAGGATCTAAACCTCATCAGTTGACATCTCTTTTCTACTGGAAAATGAAATGGCAAATTCACGGCGATTTCGCCCGCAGCAGAGGAGATTTCGAAATTCTCTTTTGAATACAGGATTCATTCCGGCGTAAATAAAGGGATTTATTGTGTTGGACAGGTAGAGGAGAAACATGCAGAAAAGTTCAACACTTCGCGGCATCGTCGCAACGAGCTTGAAGCGCCGTAAGACAACGATAATCCAAAAAGGGATCCAGCATATCATGAATGCAAACACCACTGCAAAGAGAGATTTGCTGATCTTAATCTCATGTGAGCTAATGGACGATGATGCGTTGATGTTGTGTTGACGGATCACTTCCGCGACCCTTTTGTAGCTCAAAAGAGTAGCTATGAGCGGGGTTAAAAAAAAGCAAATGAGGACAATGCTGTAATGGATCATTTTTCCTATCTCGCTGAGATGAGCAATGGAGCACTGAGCGTACCCTGGTACAAATTCATACGCTTGAAGATCAGCCAGGCGAGGGACTACTGTGTAGCAAGCAACAGAAAACCAAACGATAGCCAACAACAAACGTGACTTTCTTGCTGAAAAAAGTCTGTCGTATTGCTGGGTTGACCTGCATATCCTGACGTACCTGTTAACTGCTGTTAAACCCATAGTCACCGGAGAAATGTAGATGACAAACAGACTGAAGAAGGCGTGAAGTTGACAGATTGCTTCGCCGAAGATCCATTCGCCAGTAATAAGCACGCCAATACCAATAGGCATTACAAAGACAGCAGAGAGGAGATCACTTGCAGCCAAGGCGATGATATACAGATTGGTTGTTGTGCGTAATCGTACGTTCTTGTAAACGGACATACAAACCAAGATATTTCCTGCTAAGGACAGAACGTTCAAAATTACGAGTGAGGTTACTTCCACGGTGATAAGGAAGGAACTGCGAGAGCTCAGACTGTCCGCCATTATAATAAGAAAGATGTCTGCAAGGATGAATGTAGTAAATGTTTAATATACACTGGACCTGAATTATTCAGCAAAGCCAGTGTTGACTGAGGTCATCATTAGTCAACGCGTACTTCCTTGTCAACGCAGTGCTCCCAGGTTTATGCAAATAGCTGTCCATTGCGATACAGAGGCTTTCATTTTCGGCTTTCTTTAACGAGTTTCCAACCGGAAGATGGGAGCCAAAGTAACACCCCGACACCGTACTTTATACGTTGTATCTTTTAAGATCAAAGCACCTGCATCAGGGGGTCTGAGATTGTTGCGTGACTTTGGCCCAAGTGGTTGCGACGTAAACTAAAATCAGTAACATCCTATACTTATTGTTAGTCTTTAGATGTTTATTGATATGTTAAAAATACTCTATAATCAACCACCTGGAGGTTTTCGATTGCCTCTTTTCCCCTGATCGTTTACCGGTACCCTGCATATCTTAAATCAAATAATTAAAAGGTGTCGTAATCGAACGTTCTGAAATACAATGCTCAATGCGTTGGCTGTTGCAACGTCTATCGGCACGCAGTTTCGTTAGGCCGTTCGTCAGATGTACTTTCTCTAGTGAAAAGGAATTAAACCTAAGAGAGTTACTCCAATTGCAGAGAGGTGTACAGAGGTGTTTTCTAGAGCAAGTAACATTAAGCTGTTTTAAATAAACATGTGCACCATTATAATATAAAAACACAGGAAACAAATTCTATGAACCTTCTTTTTTCGTACGGACAAATGATAACATTTTGAAAATTAAACAATACAGGAGCCGTCAGTTATTGGAACTTTCGTAATTCGTTGTCATTTAAGCAGGGGCACCCAACGGCAATTTTCGGGAAAATATCTGTTCGGAAGACGATTTGAGATCTAGAATTTTCGGAGCATTTGTTGTAAAATTTCTTGCTTGGCTGCCTCTCCTAGGATTTTCGAACATCTACAAAATGGTATAATGACCCATTTTTAAGGGATTTTGACCCTAAAAAAGGCCACCTAGAATTTTCGGAAGCCTTTTCCTGTCTGAAGTTTTTGGGAAGGTAAGTTTGTATCCCTATAATTTTCGGATCACTAGACTTTCAGCTAGGAAATCCGAACAGATGAAAAGATTTTAGGGGATAAAAATATGCCTATATCTACTGTTTGAATACTAAACTACGTTCAACAATGCTATGTTAAGTGGTTTTGAACTATATCCTCGTTGGGTGCCCCTGTTTAAGAAGAGCTTAAAAACCACGAATTTTCTGCGTGGTTAAGATCGCAGAAACAAGACTTCGATGAAAGTATTGTTGGTTTTCACATGACGTCACTAAAATTCAAACTAAAAAACTATCGATTCTACCGAGATTTTACTTTTACGATGCATTAGAGCAGCTGAAACTAATTTTCATTCGCTTCAAAAGGGTTCTTGGTTTTGTGATAGAATACGCTTGAATTTTTAAGCTTTTGCGTGACGCGCCAAGAGAGCGTGTCATGTAGGTTAAAAAATGACCTCAGGAAATTATAAAAAGTATTTCTTTAATGTTTATGAGTTTCTCGAAGAATAAATTCACGCTTTTGTAGCAAAACTCGGTAACAGATGTTTCTGCTGGTTTCCGTCCGCCATATTGGAGCTCATCCAGGTGAGCACCAGCATGGCGTCTCCATACAAATCTTTTTGGGTAAAACATTTCTTCGGATATCTCGTATACGAAAGATTCCTCTGACCTGAATCTTGGCGAGGGTCTTTGTATATGTACCTCCTTTCATTTCCCAGATTCTGGACTTTATCTATTGAACGGTTTTTATTTTTATTTTGATCTATTTTGAATGGCGTGACACTGAAAACCAGCAATAGAGTATTTTCACATGACGTCTCGGTGGCCATATTGGTCTTCCACGACAATAAAATGGCGGACATGTTGGAGTTCCAAAGTAGTCTTCTTTTTTGTGCAAACCGGCTTTCTTTTGTTCCGGTAAATTTGCATAGATGCTGGTCACGGCGTGAAAACGCTCCATACGAGTTATTAAACATAATTCTAAATCTAAGTAACAATAAAAGCGCTTCAGGTGGTCTTCGTGACGTAAACGCAACTTAGTAAAGTTTCGTTGCTATTCTTTTAATTTTTTTGAACTTTAGTTCGGCTGTTGTCAGAAAAATTATTGGGAACAGTTGCAGTTTACTCCCACAGTTTAAATCTTACGTTAATAGTTTTATTCAACTGTGCTCTGCAGTAAAATACGGGAGAGTATCTGGGAACATTAAGCTCACATCACTTCACCTGATGCAACTGGGTGCAAAATATGATTGCTGTAAAGCCACTTTTAGTTAATGTTTACTAAGTAGGGCAAAGATCCATTACAGAAGTAGGTCAATTGAATCAAAACGATGTTTTACGTGGTCGGCGGACAAAAAATAATCACACTTCATGAAGCGGCTAGCACGCTGCCAGGGCTACACCCCGGAAGCATTAGGGAGTTTAAGATAGGGAGACTACAGACTACAAACTACGGCTGGATGAGCGTTGTCCTTTGTTTGTAGAACAGGGTTGAGTCGTGCAAATATAGAACGTTAAGATTGCACTACAGACAGTAGACTACGAGAGAAGAGGCGGAGAAGGAAACAACACGCAAAGATTTTCTTGTTTTCATCACAGTTTACAAAAATGCAAGTCAGTTTTGCCTGTGATCTTAAAATGAACAGTCACGTGGTTTTGATCATGCGCAGTAGCATGTTTAACCGTAGTCGTAGTCCGTACGTAGTCGCCGTATCTTAAACTCCCTAATGTCACTTGGTACGGGAGAACCAATGGCAGTTGGTCTCTGAAACAAAATGTTAAAAGTCTCCAAAATATGTGTATTTCAAGACGAATCAAGCACGTAAGGAAAATTACCTTTGGTTATATACCCCTTTTGGTGACATCCCAAACACATAGAAGTCTTTATTAAGAAACCGGTCACAACAAACGTGTGGCTTTACAATCAATGACTAACTAAGCTAAGCTAAAATACCTATCAAATGTCATAGAAAATTAAAAAATAAATCGTTAAAAAGACACCTATTTACATCGTTCCGTTTTTACTCTAAGGAGCATCAAGTCATGACCCCTTTCTCTAAAAACCCTATTACGTTTATTTGGAGGCAAGTAGCCATGCTATACATAACCAGTGTCACTTGCGATTCTCTTGAAAAAATCACTATCCGTACGTATTCTTAATTACATCAGATATCAAAATGATCTCTTGTTATTTGTATAGCCAAAACGATAGTCTCGCCGGAATAAGCCGTCAATCCGGTCTAAATGTTTGTTTTGATAGGCAGAGCCCCATACAGAAATAATGACATTGTCAAAGAGTCGAAAAGTTCACTAAGCTGATCTTTAGTGTACCCATAATACTTGCATACTTTAAGAATATACAGTCGACAAGCAGCTCGAGAAAGTAAACAAGTCCAATTACGAGGATCTTCATGGAAAGCAATTCCTAAAAGTTTCAGCCACTTAATCTTATAATATTATTTCATTTGAAAGAAAAGGTTTATGTCCTCAGGGTTGATAACAGAGCTGATGTTTTAATGCCTTAGACTCTCTGCCAATGATTTTGTTTACAGTATTCCACCAACCCTTTGTCCCAGTTCCATGTTTGTTATTTCCATTGCGTACAGCCTCCACTTGGTTGTTGCGGATTAGCTCATTGATCTTTGATTGTAGGGCAGCATTTCTTGGCGTTCCTATTTCTGATGGTACACAGGTGTTTAACTAGTGGCGACATATAAGGGGGGGGTCCCTTGAAGACACCTTGATCACGGGGAAGTATTCGTTGAATATAATTCTGAGGGTGTTATCAAATAGGTGAATCGCCTCGGTGATCATACGTGCAAAGATTCATATCGTATAAAAAAATTCATTTCATACATTGCCTGGAATATTGATATCTCAAACTACTTTGACGTCAAAATAGCTAACGCTAAGTTTAGTTTTTTGAGAAAAGGACAAAGGAGGAGAAAATTTAGGAAGAGTAGAATCGAAACATGACATGCTGAGGAGGCATCTAAAACCTCAGTCATCACTTCGTTGTTGTTTCTTTTCTGCCAGAAGTTGAAATGACAACATTACACCGATTTCGTCTGCAGAAGAGGATATTTTAGAACTCTCTCCTGAATACAGGATTCATCCCAACGTATATAGAGAATACTTCATGGAAAGTGCTGGCGTACGGTATTTACGCACGAGTTGTTGACGTATCAGAAATCGAACGAGTGAGCGCAGCGAACGAGTAAGATTTCTGATACAAAAACAACGAGTGCGTAAATACAGTACAAAGCACTTTCCATGTGGTATTGTGTTTATGATAAACATACTGAGACATTCATCATTTTGGTGGCCTTTTTATTTTAAATCTTTCAAAAATGCTAAAATTTACCGCTACACACTTACCGCAAAATGACAACGCAAACGAAGTATCAGCTTTTTAGTAAACACGTTTGTTAAAAACATAAATGACGGTAAGGATATGAGGTAATCCAAGAACTATAAGTAATCTTAACTGTTTGTTCTCAATGAACAATTGAAAATGAGTGAATTTAAGTAAAATGGCCGGTTTCAATATAATCTTAAGCTTAAATGAAAGGCAAAGTAGCTCCGACAAAAAGCACAACAAAAGCTTACGTCTCGTTCTTTTTTTCCCTTTCCGCTGTTGTTTCGCTTGCTCTCTACCGTTTTCTTTATCGACAGCGAAACAAACGAAACTATTCCACTCCATTTCCGAATGTTTTTCACTTTTTTAGCGAGAAAAACTCTTTGAGTAAAACTTTTCTCGTTGAATGTGTGCGAAACGGCGCTGCAAGCTGCAATAAAAGGCGGGAATTTTGGCGCGAAACTCACACACCTCTGTGGCTTCTGATTGGACGTATCATTTTTCTCACACGTGAAAAAACATCGTTCGCGATTCTGATTGGACGTATCATTTTTTTCACGAGTGAAAACCATCGTTCGCTCCTCTGATTGGCTAGAACTGATTTGCGTACGAAAATTTACGACATAGCTTTTTGGTGAGTATTTCTCAGTATGTATATAATAAATAAACGGACTTATTGTGTTTGATAGATAGAGGAAAAACATGCAAAGTAGTTCAACGTTTTGTGGCATCATCGCAACGAGACGGAAGCGCCGTAAAACAACGATAACCCAAAATGGGATCCAGCAAATCATGAACGCAAACACAATTGCGAAAAGAGATTTACTGAGATTGATCTCATGTAAAATGAGGAACGATAACGCATTGATGTTGTGTTGTCGGATCACTTTTGCGACCCTTGTGTAGCTAAAAAGAGTAGTTATGAGCGGGGTTAAAAAGAAAATAAGAACAATGCTGTAATTGATCGTTTTTCCTATCTTGATGAGATGACCAATGGAGCACTGAGCGTACCCTGGTACAAATTCGTACGCTTGAAGACCAGCCAGGCGAGGAACTACTGCGTAGCAAGCAACTGAAAACCAAACGATAGACAACAACAAAAGCAACTTTCCCGCAGTTCTCACATATGATTTATTTCATATACACATAAAGGCATTTGTCACAAAAGCAAAATAACACAACTCAGTTGACATGTCAACTCAACCTAACTCTAACATGCGCAGTTTTGCCGTTTTAAATCAATCCTGTAACGTCAAAATTACGTTACGGTTATAATAAATATAGTAAATTAAAAGTATGTAAGCTAATAGATTAATAAGGAAACCTTGAAATACGACGTATTTAAGTAAAAAATGCAAATCTTTCAAAGCATGACTCCAAAAATCGGTTGCCATAGAAACGTCTCTGTTGACGAACACCTTAAAAAAACTTCTAAAAGGACACAACCTCCCCAATATGGGTGATTACTCTCTACCGTGGATTCTTCTAGCTTGAACAAAGTAAAACGCCACGTTGCCTTGATGACGTCAAAAAGGGGATAAGTCAAAGAAAAGCATTCCAAAACTTTTCGTCATAAACTGTAAACTAAGATTGTAAATAACAAAAAAGAAATTAAAAAACATTTAAATGGAAGAAGAACGTAAGCAGAGACAGTGAGGAGAAATAGATTTCATCCCTCCATTTTTCTGCTTCGGAAAAGCGTCACATGTCTCAAGATTCCGCCTACAAAAAGCTTTCGCATGTACATAGAAAGGATCTAAACCTCATCAGTTGACATCTCTTTTCTACTGGAAAATGAAACGGCAAATTCACGATTTCGCCCGCAGCTATTTAAGTAAAAAGTGCAAATGTTTGAAAGCACGACTGCAAAAATCGGTTGCCATAGAAACGTCTCTGTTGACGAACACCTTAAAAAATCTTCTAAAAGGACACCACATCCCCAATATGGATGATTATTCTCTACCGTGGATTTTTCTAATTTGAACAAAATAAAACGTCACATTGCCTTGATGACGTCAAAAAGGGCATAAGTCAAAGAAAAGCATTCCAAAACTTTTCGTCATAAACTGTAAACTAAGATTGCAAATAGCAATAAAGATATTAAAAAACTTTTAAATGGAAGATAAACGTAAGCAGAGACGATGAGGAGAAATAGATTTTATCCCTCCATTTTCCTGCTTCGGAAAAGCGTCACAAGTCTCAAGATTCCGTTTGCAAAAAGATTTCGCATGTACAGAGATAGGATCTAAACCTCATCAGTTGACATCTCTTTTCTACTGGAAAATGAAATGGCAAATTCACGGCGATTTCGCCCGCAGCAGAGGAGATTTCGAAATTCTTTTTTGAATACAGGATTCATTCCGGCGTAAATAAAGGGATTTATTGTGTTGGACAGGTAGAGGAGAAACATGCAGAGAAGTTCAACACTTCGCGGCATCGTCGCAACGAACTTGAAGCGCCGTAAGACAACGATAATCCAAAAAGGGATCCAGCATATCATGAATGCAAACACCACTGCAAAGAGAGATTTGCTGATCTTAATCTCATGTGAGCTAATGGACGATGATGCGTTGATGTTGTGTTGACGGATCACTTCCGCGACCCTTTTGTAGCTAAAAAGAGTAGCTATGAGCGGGGTTAAAAAAAAGCAAATGAGGACAATGCTGTAATGGATCGTTTTTCCTATCTCGCTGAGATGAGCAATGGAGCACTGAGCGTAGCCTGGTACAAATTCGTACGCTTGAAGACCAGCCAGGCGAGGGACTACTGTGTAGCAAGCAACAGAAAACCAAACGATAGCCAACAACAAACGTGACTTTCTCGCTGAAAAAAGTCTGTCGTATTGCTGGGTTGACCTGCATATCCTGACGTATCTGTTAACTGCTGTTAAACCCATAGTCACCGGAGAAATGTAGATGACAAACAGACTGAAGAAGGCGTGAAGTTGACAGATTGCTTCGCCGAAGATCCATTCGCCAGTAATAAGCACACCAATACCAATAGGCATTACAAAGACCGCAGAGAGGAGATCACTTGCAGCCAAGGCGATGATATACAGATTGGTTGTTGTGCGTAATCGTACGTTCTTGTAAACGGACATACAAACCAAGATATTTCCTGCTACGGACAGAACGTTCAAAATTACGAGTGAGGTTACTTCCACGGTGATAAGGAAGGAACTGCGAGAGCTCAGACTGTCCGCCATTATAATAACAAAGATGTCTGCAAGGATAAATGTAGTAAATGTTCAATATACACTGGTCTTTTATTATTCAGCAAAGCCAGTGTTGACTGAGGTCATCATTAGTCAACGCGTACTTCCTTGTCAACGCAGTGCTCCCAGGTTTATGCAAATAGCTGTCCATTCCGATACAGAGGCTTTCATTTTCGGCTTTCTTTAACGATTTGCCAACCGGAAGATGGGAGCCAAAGTAACACCCCGACACCGTACTTTATACGTTGTATCTTTTAAGATCAAAGCACCTGCATCAGGGGGGTCTGAGATTGTTGCGTGACTTCGGCCCAAGTGGTTGCGACGTAAACTAAAATCAGTAACATCCTATACTTATTGTTAGTCTTTAGATGTTTATTGATATCATAGTTAATTGAGTGGAATGGTTATGAAACCCGTCAGACTCCTTTGTTATATGTTTTTGTGTACCTGAAAGTGCACAACGTTCAAAAGAATTCCTATCATTTTGATTGTATTGACCAATAAAAACGTTGCATTAATTTATTCCGTAACAATTTGCCAACAGAAAACAAAGGATTGTGCACTTTCACGGTGCTTTGAACATAAACTACAGCACTGTTGTTTTTATCATTGATGTTTGCCGCTTTTCATAACCAGTCTCCTCTAATAACTATGTTGATATGTTAAAAATACTCTATAATCAACCACCTGGAGGTTTTCGATTGCCTTTTTTCCCCTGATCGTTTACCGGTACCCTGCATATCTTAAATCAAATAATTAAAAGGTGTCGTAATCGAACGTTCTGAAATACAATGCTCAACGCGTTGGCTGTTGCAACGTCTATCGGCACGCAGTTTCGTTAGGCCGTTCGTCAGATGTACTTTCTCTAGTGAAATGGAATTAAACCTAAGAGAGTTACTCGAATTGCAGAGAGGTGTATAGAGGTGTTTTCTAGAGCAAGTAACATTAAGCTGTTTTAAATAAAGATGTGCACCATTATAATATAAAAACACATGCAGGAAACAAATTCTATGAACTTTCTTTCGTCAGTTACTGGAACTTTCGTAATTCGTTGTCATTCACGGTAACAACAACCTTTTGAGAGAAAGCCAATTCACGGTTTTAAGAAAGTGCCAGAGCAAATTTGATTGTTTAGTATTTGAAATGCTCTTCATCAAGAAGCTTAAGCCCAATTTAAATATTCAGACGGACTCCATACGTGCGAAACTCTTTGTTTAATATTTTCTCACGTTACAATTTTTTAATCAGCTATTGTTGTTTTTTTAGTATTTATAGACCAAAAATCACTAACTTATTTTGACTTGATAATGACGTTCAGCTAATGTCGAAACGTCGTCGCCTTTTAGCAATTTTTTAATCTTAAAATGATTTTAAGAAATGTTTTATCGCAATTTTTTATAGTTAAATGCATTTCATACATTGCCTGGAATATTGTTATCTCAAACCACTTTGACGTCAAAATAGCTAACGCTAAGTTTAGTTTTTTGAGAAAAGGACAAAGGGGGAGAAAATTTAGGAAAAGTAGCATCGAAACATGACATGCTGAGGAGGCATCTGAAACCTCATCAGGTTCGTTGTTGTTTCTTTTCTGCCAGAAGTTGAAATGACATCATTACACCGATTTCGTCTGCAGAAGAGGATATTTTGGATTCATCCCAGCATATATAAACGGATTTATTGTGTTTGATAGATAGAGGAAAAACATGCAAAGTAGTTCAACGTTTCGTGGCATCATCGCAACGAGACGGAAGCGCCGTAAAACAACGATAACCCAAAATGGGATCCAGCAAATCCTGAACACAAAGACAATTGCGAAAAGAGATTTACTGAGTTTGATCTCATGTAAACTGAGGGACGATAACGCATTGACGTTGTGTTGTCGGATCACTTTCGCGACCCTTGTGTAGGTAAAAAGAGTCGCTATGAGCGGGGTTAAAAAGAAAATAAGAACAATGCTGTAACTGATCGTTTTTCCTATCTTGCTGAGATGACCAATGGAGCACTGAGCGTACCCTGGTACAAATTCGTACGCTTGAAGACCAGCCAGGCGAGGGACTTCTGCGTAGCAAGCAATAGAAAACCAAACCATAGACAACAACAAAAGCGACTTTCCCGCAGTTCTCACATATGATTTATTTCATGTACGCATTAAGGCATTTGTCACAAAAGCAAAATAACACCACTCAGTTGACATGTCAACTCAACCTAACATGCGCAGTTTTGCCGTTTTAAATCAATCCTGTAACGTTAAAATTACGTTACGGTTATAATAAATTTAGTAAATTAAAAGTATGTAAGCTAATAGAATAATAAGGAAACTGACTTTAAAAAAACGACGTATTTAAGTAAAAAAATGCAAATTTTTCAAAGCATGACTGCAAAAATCGGTTGCCATAGAAACGTCTCTGTTGACGAACACCTTAAAAAAACTTTTACAAGGACACCACCTCCCCAATATGGATGATTATTCTCTACCGTGGATTTTTCTAGTTTGAACAAAGTAAAACGTCACATTGCCTTGATGACGTCAAAAAGGGGATAAATCAAAGAAAATATTCCAAACCTCTTCGTCATAAACTGTAAACTAAGATTGCAAATAACAAAAAAGAAATTAAAAAACATTTAAATGGAAGGTCAACGTAAGCAGAGACGATGAGGAGAAATAGATTTCATCCGTCCATTTTCCTGCTTCGGAAAAGCGTCACATGTCTCAAGATTCCGTCTGCCAAAAGATCTCGCATGTACAGAGATAGGATCTAAACCTCATCAGTTGACATCTCTTTTCTACTGGAAAATGAAACGGCAAATTCACGATCTCGCCTGCAGCAGAGGAGATTTCGAAATTCTTTTCTGAACACAGGGTTCATCCCGGCGTAAATAAAGGGATTTATTGCGTTGGACAGGTAGAAGAGAAACATGCAGAGGAGTTCAACACTTCGCGGCATCGTCGCAACGAGCTTGAAGCGCCGTAAGACAACGATAATCCAAAAAGGGATCCAGCATATCATGAATGCAAACACCACTGCGAAAAGAGATTTGCTGATCTTAATCTCATGTGAGCTAATGGACGATGATGCGTTGATGTTGTGTTGACGGATCACTTCCGCGACCCTTTTGTAGCTAAAAAGAGTCGCTATGAGCGGGGTTAAAAAAACGAAAATAAGAACAATACAGTAATTGATCGTTTTTCCTATCTCGCTGAGATGAGCAATGGAGCACTGAGCGTACCCTGGTACAAATTCGTACGCTTGAAGACCAGCCAGGCGAGGGACTGCTGCGTAGCAAGCAACAGAAAACCAAACGATAGCCAACAACAAAAGTGACTTTCTCGCTGAAAAAAATCTGTCGTATTGCTGGGTTGACTTGCATATCCTCACGTACCTGTTAACTGCTGTTAAACCCATAGTCACCGGAGAAGTGTAAATGACAAACAGACAGCAGAAGGCGTGAAGTTGGCAGATTGCTTCGCCGAAGATCCATTCGCCAGCAATAAGCACGCCAATACCAATAGGCATTACAAAGACCGCAGAGAGGAGATCACTTGCAGCCAAGGCGATGATATACAGATTGGTTGTTGTGCGTAATCGTACGTTCTTGTAAACGGACATACAAACCAAGATATTTCCTGTTAAGGACAGAACGTTTAAAATTACAAGTGAGGTTACTTCCACGGTGATAAGGAAGGAACTGCGAGAGCTCAGACTGTCCGCCATTATAATAACAAAGATGTCTGCAAGGATAAATGTAGTAAATGTTCAATATACACTGGACTTGTATTATTCAGCAAAGCCAGTGTTGACTGAGGTCATCATTGGTCAACGCCTACTTCCCTGTCAGCGCAGTGCTCCTAGATCTATAAAAATAGCTGTCCATTGTTACACAGAGGCTTTCATTTTAGGCTTTCTTTGACGAGTTTCCAACCGGGAAAATGGGAGCCAAAGTAGCACCCCGACACCGTAATTTATATTTATATGTTGCATCTTTTAAGATCAAAGCACCTGCATCAAGAGGGTCTGGGAGTGTTGCGTGACCTCGGCCCAAATGGTTGCGAGGTAGACTAAAATCAATAACATCCTATATTTAGTTTTTAGTACTTAAAATAGTTTTCAGTCTTTAGAGGTCTATTGATACGTTAAAAATACTCTATAATTAACACCGCGAGGTTTTCGATTGCATTTCTTGCCCGGATCATTTACCGGTACCTGCATATCTTAAATCAAATAAAAAGTTGTCTTAACCGAACGTTCTGAAATACAATGCTCAACGCGTTGGCTATGCTGCAACGTCTATTGGCACGCAGTTTTGTTAGGCCGTTCTTCAGATGTACTTTCTCTCAAATACTGCAAAGTTAAAAGGAATTAAATCTAAGAGAGCTACTCGAATGGCAGAGAGGTTTTTTCTAGAGCAAGTAATATAAGCTGTTTTAAATTAAGATGTAGACCATTATAATATAAAAAACAGAGGCAACTTATTAACAAATGCTATGAACTTTTTTTTCGTACGGATGATAACATTTTTAAAATTAAATAATACACGAGGCGTCAATTATCGGAACTTTCGTAATTCGTTATCATTTAAGAAGAGCTTGGCCAAGAAATTAAAAACCACTAATTTTCTGAGTGGTTAATTGATCGCAGAAACAACGCTTCGATGAAAGAATAAAGCATTTTCACATGACGTCACGGCGGCCATATTGGTCTTCCAAGACAATAAAACGGCCAACATGTTGGAGTTCCAAAATAGTCTTCTTTTTTATGCAAACCGGCTTTCTTTTGTTCCGGTAAATTTGCATAGATGCTGGTCCACGGCGTGAAAACGCTCCATACGAGTTATTAAACATAATTCTAAATCTAAGTGACAATAAAAGCGCTTCAGGCGATCTTCGTGACGTAAACGCAACCTTTTAATTCCTTTGAACTTTAGTTATTGGGAACGGTTGCAGTTTACTCCTACAGTTTAAATCTTACGTTAATAGTTTTATGCTACTGTACTCACTGCAGTAAAATAGAGGAGAGTATCTGGGAACATTAAGTTCACATCACTTCACCTATGAAGGCAATCGGGTGCAAAATATGATTGCTGTAAAGCCACTTTTAGTTATTGTTTACTAAGTAGGGCAAAGATCTATTACACAAGTAGGCCAATTGAATTAAAACCATGTTTTACGTGGTCGGCCGACAAAAAATAATGACAGACTTCATGAAGCGGCTAACACGTTTCAAGGGCTGCACCCCGGAAGTAATGTCACTAGGTACGGGAGAACCAGTGGCAGTTGGTCTCTGTAACAAAATATTAAAAGTCTCCAAAAAAATTGTATTTCAAGATGAATCAAGCACTCAAGTAAAATTACCTCAATAGGCATTACCTGTTCTAAGACAAAATCAACAAATACCAACAGAACCAAGGTTCAGTCTGAAAAAGTGTCGCACAGATTTACCTCGTTCGAGATAACGGCATCATGCCAATAAATTAAGGCTTGGAGGAACTCTCCAAAGAGATGTTTAAAAAAAACCTCATTGGTGGTTTTCAATGGAATAACTTTTCTTCTCCGTGAATTTTGTATGACAGAATCGACTGCATTACGCTTGCTTGATTTAAACAAATTAGTATAAAACGTTGGTTATAAACCCTTTTTGGTGACATCCCAAAGATATAGAAGTCTTTGATTATAGAAGTCTTTATTAAGAAACCAGTCACAACAAACGTGTGCCTTTACAATCAATGACTAACTAAGCTAAGCTAAAACACCTATCAAATGTCATAGAAAATTAAAAAATAAATCGTTAAAAAGACACCTATTTACAAAAGCCCGTCAATTGAATCGTTCCGTTTTCACTCTAAGGAGTATTAAGTCATGACCCGGCCCTTTCTCTAAGAACCCTATTACGTATATTTGGAAGCAAGTAGCCATGCTATACATGACCAGTGTCACTTGTGATTCTGTTGAAAAGATCACTGTCCCTACGTATTCTTAATTACATCAGATATCAAAATGATCTCAAGTTATTTGTACAGCCAAAACGATAGCCTCGCCAAGTTGTCAATCCGATCTGAATGCAAGTTTCCTTTGATAGGCAGAGCCCCACAATTAAAGAAATAATGACATTGTCAAGGAGTCGAAAAGTTCACTAAGCTGATCCTTAGTGTACCCATAATACTTGCATACTTTAAGAATATATACAGTCGACCAGCAGCTCTAGAAAGTAAACCAGTCCAATTACAAGGATCTTCATGGAAAGCAATTCCCAAAAGTTTCAGCCACTTAATCTTATAATATTATTTCATTTGAAAGAAAAGGATTATGTCCTCAGGGTTGATAACAGAGCTGATGTTTTAATGGCTTAGACTCTCTGCCAGTGATTTTGTTTACAGTATTCCATCAACCCTTGGTCCCAGTTCCATGTTTTCTAGTTTCATTGCTTACAGCCTACTCTTGGTTGTTGCGGATTAGCTCATTTATCCTTGCTTATAGGTCGGCATTCACTTCGCCGTATTTCGTGGTGTTCTTATTTCTGATGGTATACAGGCGTTTAACCAGTGTTCACATATAAGCGGGGGGGAGGGGTCCCTTGAAGACATCTTAACCTTGATCAGGGGAAAGCATTCGTTGAATATAACTGTGAGCCAGGGTGTTATCAAAAAAGTGAATCGTCTCGCTGATCATCCGTGCTAAGATTCATATCATATATCTATATATCAAAAAAATCATTTCATACATTGCCTGGAATATTGTTATCTCGAACCACTTTGACGTCAAAATAACTAACACTAAGTTTAGTTTTTTGAGAAAAGGACAAAGGAGGAGAAAATTTAGGAAAAGTAGAATCGAAACATGACATGCTGAGGTGGCATCTGAAACCTCAGTCATCAGTTCGTTGTTGTTTCTTTTCTACCAGAAGTTGAAATGACAACATTACACCGATTTCGTCTGCAGAAAAGGATATTTTGGAACTCTCTTGTAAATACAGGATTCATCCCAGCGTATATAAACGGATTTATTGTGTTTGATAGATAGAGGAAAAACATGCAAAGTAGTTCAACGTTTCGTGGCATTATCGCAACGAGACGGAAGCGCCGTAAAACAACGATAACCCAAAATGGGATCCAGCAAATCTTGAACGCAAACACAATTGCGAAAAGAGATTTACTGAGTTTGATCTCGTGTAAACTGAGGGACGATAACGCATCGATGTTATGTTGTCGGATCACTTTGGCGACCCTTTTGTAGCTCAAAAGAGTAGCTATGAGCGGGGCTAAAAAAAAGCAAATGAGGACAATGCTGTAATGGATCGTTTTTCCTATCTCGCTGAGATGAGCAATGGAGCACTGAGCGTACCCTGGTACAAATTCGTACGCTTGAAGACCAGCCAGGCGAGGGACTACTGTGTAGCAAGCAACAGAAAACCAAACGATAGCCAACAACAAACGTGACTTTCTCGCTGAAAAATATCTGTCGTATTGCTGGGTTGACTTGCATATCCTGACGTATCTGTTAACTGTTGTTAAACCCATAGTCACCGGAGAAATGTAGATGACAAACAGGCTGAAGAAGGCGTGAAGTTGGCAGATTGATTCGCCGAAGATCCATTCGCCAGTTATAAGCACGCCAATACCAATGGGCATTACAAAGACAGCAGAGAGCAGATCACTCACCGCCAAAGCGATGATATACAGATTGGTCGTTGTGAGTAATCGCACGTTCTTGTAAACGGACATACAAACCAAGATATTCCCTTTTAAGGACAGAGCGTTTAAAATTACCAGTGAGATTACTTCCACGGTGATAAGGGAGGAACTGCGAGAGCTCAGACTGTCCGACATTATAACAACAAAGATATCTATAAGGCTAATTGTTTAATATACGAGACTTCGCTCATTCAAAGCTACTTAAGTTTGTAATATTGCGACAACATTACCTTAGTAAGCACGTTGAATATTCAGACAAGAACTGTATTTTGGCAAACGTTTATTAAAATGAAGTAATATTATGCTACATGTTTGTAGTACTTAAAATAGTTTTGAAATTATTTAAAATACGCTTTACTCACGTTCAGGTTACTTTGATTTATGCTTGAAATATTACAGTAACTTGGACAATTCGATCGAAATAAAATTTACCAGCGAGTAACCTGTAACCTCATCCATTAAAATTGAGGTAACTGGTTTTTTTCTGTGGTCTTTATTACCCTGTTGCATAGAAACAGGACATCTGATGTCCAATCACCTGCATTCACTTTTGAAGTGGGTTGCTCACAATCGATCTATTGTTGGCTACAGGCCGGGGGGTTACTCCTTTATATAAGCCGTATAGGTTTGTGCCTCCCCAAAGGGTAGGGTTTTTGCGCCATTTTGGTCTGACAACTGGTATGGACTTTGGCCATTTTGGTCTGGAACCGGGTATGGTTTTCGAGGAAACTACGGGAGTGAATGTACTTATTTATCGTTTCAGTTCCAAATGAAAAACAAAGAAAAAGATACATGCGAATTCGAAATGGATTTTAAGAAATCCTCGATTGTTACTGTTCTAGTCTATGCAATGATAACATAATTTTTACAGGCCAGTTCTGAAGACGGGCGTGAAAAATGACATTTTTGGGTCTGAGATAGGGTCAGGATTTGGAGAACCGGGCAGCACACCCCCACCAAGAATTCCCAGGAGGGTCCCCCGGGGACTTCAGGCAAGATGAAGCGAATTCTCTGCTCTGATTGGCTGCTTCTCGAGTGGGCAATGTGAGCCTCTTTTGCTCTGTGAGAATTACCCATTTTGTTGCACAAAAGAAAAAAATATTTTTGCCCATATAATAAATCCTTTGATGAACGTGCTCTGTCAAGATAGATGGTTGGATATTCGCCTCTTTTTTGTTGAAGAAAATAACTTATATCCAATATCCATGCAGCCATCTTCAATTGGCCTGGCTCTTCGCCTTAAGGCATAATTATGCGTATTTCTAAAGTTATATTATAGTGCTAAGTAAATTGTAGCTTTATATAGTTATGGCAAATATGCAATGAGTTTCGGCTCCTATACAGAGCTATAATCTGCAGGAACTCTATCTAAGAACTAGGCTAAAACTGCATTGACCTGAAAAGCGATCGCTACTAAGAAATCCCATACAAGCTGCATTTGCCATTTGAATTTCATGCAAACTGGATCATTCGACAATGAAATTCTAAGGTTTCAACCTGCTTTAAGCTATCGTAATATTTGACGTGAATCAAAATGTCTGCTATATTGGATTCTTTCAAATAATAATAATTAATAACTAATAATAACTTTATTTTAGTGTCAATGTATTTAGCTTAACAGCTAGCTAATTGAGGACACTTAAAATTGAATGAATTCGACCAGAACACAGCATTTTTTACGCTTGATGTACATTACTACTTATAAATGGTTACCAAATCGTCGTCTGAGAAACAAAAACAGCCCCGTGAGGAAATATTGAAAGTTGAAGACCTTTGGGGAAAAGTTGCCTCCAGTTCCTCCGGGTCAGTCCGTTGCTCTGAGGAGGGTTTACACTATATACTGACAACAGTCGCCTGCTAAGTAGTAGTTATAATAAGACTTTTTCATCGCAGACGTCGTTTTTTCGTGCTCAAGACTTTTAACTTGCTTCAAAAGCAGCTAAATTAGAGTAACTTGTCTTTCATCGTTGTCGACGACATCTAACATGTTCATTGTATGTTCTTCCATTTTTCTTTCGCCATTTAAATAAATCTCGCTTCCTTCAGTCACAGGGCTCAGATCTGTGATTGTGCCACGACTGGTCTGTCGCTCTAGAAGTGAATTCTTCAGCCTCGCCTTAACAACAGTTAAGGTCAGCTTCCGCTTTCGATTACAGCAGAGAATTTGATGAAATTCTCTTTTGAACGCTGGATTCATCCCAGCGTAAATAAACGGGTTGATGGCATTGGAGAAATAAAGCAAAAACCTGCAGAGGAGAGGAATATTTCGTGGCATACCTGGCACGAGATGGAAGCGCCACAAAATCACTATATTCCAAAATGGGATCCAGCATATCATAAATGCGAACACGACTGCAAAAAGGGATTTACTGAGGTTGATTTCATGACTAGTGTGATGTTTATTTTTTCGCCGCCTTTCAAGGGTAGACGAAGCATCTGAGTTGTGCTTTTGAATCACCTTTGCAACTTTACTGTAGCTGACGATGATGGCCATCAAAGGGGCGATGAAGAAGAATGCAAGGACAGTGGAGTAATTGATTATTTTGCCAGCTTTGTTGAGATGTACAATGGAGCACTGAGCATAACCTGGGACAAACTCATACCCTTGAAGACCGGTCAAACGTGGAATTGTTACAAAACAAGCCACAAAAATCCACACTGAGGCGATCAAAGTGCGGGACTTTCTCGCTGAAAACAGCCTGTTGTAGTGCTGACTTGATTTGCACATTTTTACGTACCTGTTCACCGCTGTTAAGCTTATGGTCACAGGTGAAACGTAAATAACAAACAAGCTGAAGAAGGCATTTAACTGGCAAAATGTTTCACCAAAGACCCATTTGCTGGCTATGAGCACTCCGGTTCCAAATGGCATGACAAAAACAGCGGAAAGCAAATCGCTCGCAGCCAGGGCCGTGATGTATAGGTTCGTTGCTGTTCGAAGTCTTGTGTTCTTGTAAACCGAAAACAAAACCAAGGTATTACCAATCAACGACATGATGTTTAAAATCATTAATGAGCTGACTTCCACAATGATCACAGGGAGGCTTCGAGAAATCAGATCGTTCTCCATTTTAACCCTTTACAGAAACTAACAAGTCGCAAGCAGTCGAGTTTAGCTTAGTTTCGTTCCTTTGTTGCTTTGCGAAGTTACAAAGGTCCTTTTCGCTATCAGTACATGTCACCATATTTGGCCCAGCAATATTTCGGTTTTATTATTTTGGTTTTAGCTCAGAGAATGTTTGTCATAAACTTGTGTTTTGTCTTTAACAGGCTTTTGGCTTTCATTCTTCTTTTTAAAAGATTTCAGTTTTGAACTTTGGGCCTTTGCAAGTTATAAATAAGAGCATATTCTCCAGACCAACTACGTTTCCACCGTTTAACGGAAGGAAACTCACGATCAGCTTTTAATAAGAAACAGGAAAAGACACTTTCACGAGTAAAAACTCAAACTTTTTTAGGATTTTTCGGTTCCGATCAGCGGTCATTCCTGGAGGCAGGCCAGAGCTTTCAAAACAGGAAAAATACTTCATATTCATTTTTCTTCTTGGATCTGATCCATGAGCCACGTGGGTGTGCAAAATATTGATCAAATGTTACTAAGAGGTTCTTGGTTCCGTCTATGACTATTTATTCCTCTGTCAACATTGTTGCTTACTCAATCAAAAGCACTTATCATTAGGGATTTTCATAAAAATATTGTGTTCGTATCAATTGCTACCAATGAATTATCAGATTATCAATATACAGGTCATTGTTTTTTAGAGCCCATTTTCTTTCAAGCCCTGAAGATAAAATTGACTGAATATGTATCTCGGGGCTATATTTTACCATCATTTATTCTCATACAGTTTTTGCTTTTGATTTTCCAGATATTTTGTTATGTTTTACCTTTATTCCCAGTTTATTGACCTTTAGGAAAGCCAGGCTTATATGATAATTATCTTAACTTATCAAATAACTCTTTGCTATTGGCTGGTACAACTGGACTATTTCCAACTGTATGATTTTTTTGTGTCGGAAGGGTACAGTACAGTGCGATTACCGTAACCGGGGCCACTTAGACTAAGTTGACCAATCGGATTACAGGAGAATAACAATGCATTACAAGAAAGTTGTCTTAAGACGAATCAGCAGCTCGTAAAAAAAAAAAACAACAAGTTACTAAAAGCGCAAAATTAAATATTGATAGCAAACCTTTTACAAGAAAGCGAAATGTTTCGCCAGACAATGCTTTTCTATATACTTTACGTATAACACCCTGCAGGAGATATATTTGTTTGACACAAGCTGTTATTTTTTCATGCCAGCAACTTCTTCGCTACCATTGCCGCGCTATGCAATAACATCACGACCTCAAGTAAAAAATTTAACTAACGTCTCCGTCATTCACCGTAACGGACCTCTCAAGAAATACAGGATTTCTTCCGCGGTTCAAAAAGTCACGACTGCACGTTGTAATCGGTTGATTACAACCTGCTTCATGTTGTTTATTTCGATTATGATTGACAACAAACTTTCCTGTAATCCGATTGGTCAACTTTTTCTTGGTGGCCCCGCTTATAGTAGTGGCTCTTTAATAACCCACGTTCGATATATTAAAATTCTAACATTACTCCGAGGCTTTCTGGCCATTTTTTCGATATTTGGTTTGGTTTTATTTGTAATCAAGTCTCTTCTGGGAATTGCAATACAATATGGAATCTAGTGCAATTTTGTCCCTAAAGCCTCGGAGTCATGTTAGAATTTTAATATATCGAGCATGGGATTTTCGCTGCCTTTGACCTGTTCCTTGAGCTGCCCCGCAATCGCCCCCGCAGAATTTAGTTTCAGGGGCTTTCTTTTTTTAGTGTCCAGTGCCTCAGTTAATCCCCTTCACTGTCGGACGCACTTCTAATTTATTATTTGTTCTTTGATAATAAATTGAGTTGTTCACTGTATGAATTATTGTATTTAACAATTATTGACAATTAAAGACCAAGAAACAAATCACTAAATACTGTGGGGGTTGCTTTGAATTTTTGTTTTTTATTTATTTAGATTTACATTCATCATTATTAGGACTGATATATGTTACACTGGATAGAGATTCATACAATTATCAAGATGTTTGAAATATTTTCATAAGATTAACTTAGCCACTTGTGTATTGTTTATTAATTTTAATTTACATGATCTAAAATAATTGGTGTGAATTTGAGCAGATGAATATACTAAAGTGTTCAAAAGACACTATGTTTTAGTCTTGTGATTAAAATAAGCTTGTGTTCTAGCCTGCCTTAGAACACCAATCCCTCGCCAGGAAGAGTGTTTTCTAACCCGATAAAAACGTCCACAGTTGCTCGTTTTGTAAGCATTTAAATATGGACAATTTCCTAAGCGGCGTTTTTGTTTTTTTCGCTTGTTATAAATTATGAAATTTAAATAGAGCATAGGACGATGGCTGAGTTAGCCTTAATTGTGGTTTTCGGTAATTGTTTTCCTTCTTGTGAACCGCAAGATTTTGTTCCCATTGGAGTGCCACTGAAGTCTGTACTAGTCGCACAACTGTTTTGACACTGCTGCGATTTTCTCTTCCTCAAGGTCATTCTATGGTTAAAATAGCAAAGAACTACTTTGCGAAATTCTTTTCTGAACACGGGATTCATGCCAGCGTATATAAAAGGATTAATTGTATTAGACAAATAGAGTAAGAACAAGCACAACAGTTGAATATTTCGAGGCATTCCCGAGCCAACACGGAAGCGCTTGAATACAATGATGACCCAAAACGGAGCCCAGCACATCATGAACGCAAAGACAACAACGAAAAGAGATTTACTAAGTTTGATCTCTCGTGCGCTTATGCGCGCTTTTCTCTGACTTTCCTTTGGAATTTTAGTTGACACCTCTTCGTTATGTTGTCGGATCATCTTTGCAACTTTTATGTAGCTGACGATGGCTGCTGTTAAAGGAAAAGCGAGCAATAGACCAAGGACAATGCAGTAATTGATTATTTTGCCAGTTTCGCTTAGAAAGGCGAGGGCACAGATGCCATATCCCGGAACGAACGCATAATCTTGAAGACCAGCCAACTTTGGAATCACAGCGTAACAAGCAACAAAGATCCACACACAGGCCAACCAAATTCGTGACTTCCACGGTGAAAAGTACTTCCTGTATTGCTGATCCGATTGGCAAATCCTGAAGTATCGGTTTATTGCTGTTAAGCTCATAGTAGCGGGTGATACGTACGCGACAAAACAGACGAAGAAAGCTCCAATTTCGCACATCGTTCCACCAAAGATCCATTCACCAGAGATCAGCACACCAATACCGAAAGGCATAACGAAAATGGCGGATAGCAAGTCGCTCACAGCAAGTGCAATGATGTATAGGTTTGTTGTTGTGCGCAGTCGTGCGTTTTTGTAAAATAAAATGCAAACCAGGGTATTTCCTAAGAGAGATAATACATTGAGAATCATTAAAGAGCTGACTTCTACTATGGTAACTGCGAGACTGCGAGAGGTCAGATCGTCCGCCATTGCCTCTACACATTTAGAAGTCGCAACCAAATGGAGTACATATTTATAATTATTTATAATTATACCAGTCACAATATTGCAGCATAATATCGCAATAACATATTCATTCCTAAGCGCAGCCTGCTACGCCCAGAAGGAGTCTTTCAACGGTTTATTTAGTCTTTATATGACTTTACAATTATTTTGTGGACATTATTAACTGAACCTTTCGTCAGACTAAATTCATAATGATAAAGAGTTGCAGGAAAATTGCTCATCAATTAGCAAAGTATATTATAGTTTTACAACAACTGAATTTTCTAGCGTGTTCTCATTGACTTCCCAATTCATGTTGGCACACCACTTATTTTATCTGTATTTTATATTTAGACTCGATATGGCCCCTCACCTCTTCCCGCAGGAAGCATTATTCATGAACTTCCTTTCACAAGTGTTTTTAAAGGTCCTTTTGCCGCATTATTGACAATATGCCCTCCAATTCTCGGCTAATTCAAAACTCTCTTATCACCGACTTTTGAGTTCAATTAATTAAGTCCTTGTAAAGTGTAAGAGAGTAATTTCACTTGTAGGTTTTAGGATTTTGGCGGATCAGTTTCAGATTTACTTTTTAACTCTCGGTTTCACAACAACATAGAGAAGTGTGCAAGTTATTTTTATCCCTTTCTGGGCCTAATATAACACAATATTACCATCGAATTATCACCTTCGATTTCGCAAGTTATTTTAATCCAGAAGTGTCGACTGAAAAAGGAACAACTAAAGGTATAATTTGCAACTTCTAATATCCCGAACATCATATGTGCATGGGAAAATGAATACAAATGTTCTCATTTTAACGTCCGACATGTTCCCTAATCTTCAATTTTGTATTCAATCTATGTGTTGATATATTCCGACCTAACTGTTGATGTCCTCTTTACATTCAAACTAATACTAGTGACTCATAATGGCTTTCAGCAAATTGAACAAAGACCGAATCACCATAAAGAACAATACACAACAATTAACAAACGATGCTGGTTAAGGGAGTAGTTAAATTCCTCGACAAAGTAAGGGTATCGATGCAAAATTCACACATGTCTGTTCTCAGGGGCACCCAACGTCAATTTTCGGAAAATATCTGTTCGGAAGACGATTTAATTTGAGACCTAGAATTTTCGGAACATTTGTTGTAAAATTTCTTGCTTGCCTGCCTCTCCTAGGATTTTCGAACATATAAAAATGGTATAATTGCCCATTTCCAACGGATTTTTACTCTAAAAAGGTCACCTAGAATTTTCGGGAGCCTTTTTTCTGGCTGAAATTTTCGAAAAGGTAAGTTTTGATCCCTATAATTTTCGGATCACTAGACTTTAAGCTAAGAAATCCGAACAGATGAAAAAGTTTTAGGGGATAAGAATATGCCTATCTCTACCGTTCAAATACTAGAATACGTTCAACAATGCTAAGTGGTTTTGAACTATATTCTCGTTGGGTGCCCCTGTGTTCTCATTCATGTGTAAAGCGGAGAGTCGCAATTATCATTTACGAAATTTCTTCTCAATTGTATAATTAGATCGACCCCGGTCTTGAAAACGTACCCTGTGAGTTTCGTTGTAATTTGCTGTGATTATTAATATTATTATTATCATTATTATTATTATTATTATTATTATTATTATTATTATTATTGTAAATTGTTATTATTAGGATCATGATATTATGATTAGGAACATTTTGAAGAAACTTTTTCTTAATTCTAGTTACTATTAATTTTGTAATCGAAATGAATTGTTTTTAATTGATTAACGAAATGTTTTCAATTGAAATGATTTTTTTTTACTTGAAATGAATTTTTTAATCGAAATGAACAGGAGCCTATGAAATGAAATAATTTGTAAACAAATCTTTGACCTAATAGTTTTTTCCTTTAGAAAAATCAATTATAAAATATAATACAGCCCCCGATGTCCTGCTTGACATTTATGCAAGGGGTTTTTGGTCTAGACAGGGTTCCACATTCTTTGACCTAAGGGTGTGCCACCCAAGTGCGGAATCTTACAAGGACCCTAACCCTCAGCAAATATATCGCCAGCATGAAAACGATAAGAGTTAGCCGAGTTATGGAGGTGGAACAAGCCACGTTCACGCCGCTGGCCTTCACCACTACAGGTGGCGTGGCACCCGAATGTCAAGTCTATCACAAGCGACTAGCGGAACTCCTGTCAGCCAAGAAAGGCGAGGACTACTCAACTAGGATGTCGTAGATAAGAACCAGAATCTCATTTGCCATTCTGAGAACATCCTTCCTATACTTAAGGCCATCGCGTTCAATAAGGGGAGTAAATCTCAACCTAAAAGAGATGGACTTTGACATCGATAGAAGGACCCTAGATTTTAATTTAGAGAAAAGATATTGAATATTGCATATTCAATTGTTTCTACTATTTAATATTGTTATCGTTGTTGGTTCATGTTGAAATCGTGGCAGATTTTAAAGAGGAATTAGTGAAAAGATGTTAAATATTGGTCAGGTAGCGACTGCTAATATTAACAGTAATAATAATTAGGTAAGAGACATTTTCGTGGATTATATTTCAAGAGATAATGAGACATTATGATCTTTTCTTTTCTTTCTAACAAAATAATGTTAAGGTACAAATTTTGTTTTAATTCTTTTTAAGTGAAGCACTGTACATAACTCTTTTTTACAAGTATTGGATAAAAACTTATTACTATTATTATTATTATTATTATTATTATAAATATCTAAGCGATTTCTCGGACCTTCTCACGCCACTGCACGCATGGTATTATCAGGAGAGCTGAGAATGAAAACTAAAAGGGCCCTTCCTCTTATTATTTAGAGTATAAGTCGGGTTAAATATAGTCCCGGCACTGACTAAGGGCGCTTTTCTTAAAATGTACAGATTCAGTCAGAATAATCACTAATTATCAGGTAAGACCGACAGAAATTTTAAACGTAATTGGCGGAAATCACGTTTCTGTTTGACAAGAATATACGGAAATGCTGAAATTGGTGGAGCTTTTACGATCATGCTATAAGAAGTCATCAAAAATAGAGACATAAGTATTTTTAATTTATCTATTCAGCTATAGCATGGGCTGGGCAAGCAGATATGCGGAAAAGGAATTTAATATGTTACAGCGCGGCGCTCAATAGGGCTTTTTTTAGGTTTTCCTATAGTCACGTTCATATCGAACACGTTAGCAACATTTCAGCTTGCTAAACTGAAGGAAAAGAGACTCAATCAAAGAGTCACAATCAATGGGTTTTCCGCATTCGGAGTTATTAGTTAAACCGGGAACTTTCCTCGATATTTCCGAATCTATATACTTACATTTTAGAAATTTTCATTCCTAGTCAGAAAACGACAAAAATGAAAAGAAACATGAAACTGGTACATCGGTTTACAAACGTAACTGTGAGTATCTCACTGAAATACGTAACGATGTATACACTCCACAACATACGCCATTTTCCCCCTATTTTTGTCTAACTTATGTACGTGATGTGGTAAAACGTGAAAGTCTAGTTTAACAAACCAGAGTTTCCCTCTCCTCCCTTATCATCATCAGGGGTGTTCATAGTAACTGTTGTTTCTTTGAGATACAGCTGGCTGCCATTGGGAGTCCGAGTAATGTCCGTTGACGTGACGCAGCTGTCTTGTTGTTGGACGGATTTCCTCGGCTTCAGTGTTAAACTCCGTTTTCGGTTACATGATAAGAATCTGCGGACTTCTCTTCTGAATAAAGGATTCATGCCGGCGTATATGAAAGGATTAATTGTATTGGACAAATAAAGAAGAAATAAGCAAAACAGTTGAACGTTACGCGCCATTTTCGCGACAACACGGAAGCGCTTGAACACAATGATGATCCAAAATGGGGCCCAGCACATCATGAAAGCGAAGACAACAACGAAAAGCGATTTGCTAAGTTTGATCTCCCGTGCACTTATGCGCTTATTACGCTGCTGTCGCCTCGTAGATTTAGTCTCCTGGTTATGCTGTCGGATTATCTTTGCTACGTTTATGTAGCTAACTATGGCTGCCGCTAAAGGAAAAGCGAGCAATAGGCCTAGGACAATGCAGTAATTGATTATTTTGCCAGTTTCGCTTAGAAAGGCGAGGGCGCAGATGCCATATCCCGGAACGAACGCATAATCTTGAAGACCAACCAACTTTGGAACCACAGCGTAAAAAGCAACAAAGATCCACACACAGGCCAACCATGTTCGTGACTTCCGCGGTGAAAAGTACCTCCTGTATTGCTGCTCTGTTTTACAAATCCTAAAGTATCTGTTTATTGCTGTTAAACCCATAGTAGCGGGCGAGACGTAGGCAACAAAACAAACGAAGAAAGCTTCAATTTTACACATCGTTTCACCGAAGATCCAATCACTTGCGATCAGCACCCCAACACCGAAGGGCATAACAAAAATGGCGGACAGCAGGTCACTCACAGCAAGTGCGATGATGTATAGATTCGTTGTTGTTCGAAGTCGCGTGGTTTTGTAAAACAGATTACAAACCAGAGTGTTTCCTATAAGGGACAACACGTTTAGAATTACCAAAGAGCTGGCTTCCACGATGGTCAAAGCTAGGCTTCGAGAGCTTAGATCGTCCGCCATTGGTGCTTAGTTCTTCTGAAAAGACTTGTAAATTTGGTGCCTGGGGGAGTGATTATGCTTGAGTAATAAACTAAGAAAGCTTAATAAGGGGTTTCAGTAAACATTAGTTCTCAGTTCCGCTATAAATTTTCGTGAACGCCATATATGGTCTTTCACTTCCCTTTCACCGTGTACCAAGCATCAGGGGCGAGACCTCCGATCCGCAAAATCAACAGCAGAACGTTTCAGCTTTCAGTTTTCAAAAATGACATCCTTGTTAGTTTTGGCTTACTTCAACGTGCAGAAATAAGTTTGAAGTCTTGATTATATTGGCTGCGGTCACACTTGGGATTTGACGTTGGTAAAAGGTTTTAACCGTGGTAAAAAGGATGTAAAGAAACTTTACTATAGTAAAACTCATTAGTTGGGTTTCCCAACAGAAATATGTCACTCAAATGATGAGCGTGAGGACAGTTGATAATTCTTACGACATTCCATGAATGTTTTATTTTTCATCCAGTTTACGTGACTGTCTGTACATCATACATTCACTGAAAATTATGCTGCTGCTTATACTGTTTCTATCCCATTATTTTCTCGGCCAAATATAAGCGGTCGATGCTGAATTACTTCGCAGCCGTGATCGTCTGAAAAACCGCCTGGTGGGATTACGAAATGAGGAACGGTGGAACTCTAGAGTGAAAAGAACATGAAGGTTTCTTAAAAAAAGCGTGCCAACCAAAAGCCGTATTCAGACAATAGATAGAAAAAATGTAAAAAACACTTGAATTGAATGATTTACTTCTAAATTTATGCTCGACTCTAGGCGTATGATTCCTTGAAATCCAGAATTTACTGTGGACTTGCCTCGAATGAAAGCGAAAATTGTCTGAGTCACTGTGACATCTCTACTGTACTGTTTGGCACGAAAAAAGGAAAAGACTAGGCTGGCGGTGCTAAAAATACATGTATAAGTATTCAGCAACGTGACACTCAGGGAACGCATCTCAAATAATGCGACTAGATGTCAACTGAATAGACAAAGTTTAGATATACCAGCGATAAACCATATCGTTTTAGGAAAGTTTACTATAGTAAACTTTGCTTTCATTCTACCGCCGTTGCCACCGCAACAGACTAGATCTGTGTTTACCATAGTAAAATGAGAAAAGCCGGTCACATTAGAAAACGTGTTTACAGTAGTAAACTCGACTTTACTAAAGTAAAAAAAGCCCAAGTGTGACCACAGCCATTTTTAGCTTTCGCTCTCACACTGCCACACAATTGACATAATTGACGGAAACTCTTGACAACTGCAGTGTACGTCAAAGGACGTCTTCCATTCATTTCGCTTTTTTATCGCAACACAACACTCTGTCTCTTATTCCCGTTTGTTGATGTTGTTGTTTTAGCAATCAATTAATCTCGCATTCTGAAAAATAAGATTACATTCTGACGGCGGACTAGTAGACTATCACAGGCTGCTTATTTTTGCTATAAGAGACTCTTTAAGTTAAGGCGAATTTCTTTAATCGAATATCATTTATTTCTTTATTTCAGGTTAATTAATTTCTTATGTGATTTAACTTATTTCCTTAAAGTATTTGTCTACCCTTTACTTTCTTATCTACCAGTATATTTTCTTTTCATACATGCGGTTTTTTATCACTTTTACATAGATATAGAGAAAAACCTTCCGTGTTGTGTTGCAAGATAAAAGATTTAACATATAATAGATGACCAGCACTCTCTAACCTATCTTTGGCTGCTGGACACCAGGTGACGTCGTGATTTAAATGGCCGTTTTCTTGGATTTTATTGAAAATTCAAATTTCTCTAATTATGGAGAAAACCATGATTGATAACGGTTGAGGTCTGTGTTTACTTTATAACCAAGCAATTTCCCTTTTGGGACTTATTGGCAGTATATTTATTTGTTTAGTATTATTTTGTTTTTTTTTTTAATGTTTTATTAAGGGACTTAATATGTTCCTTCTGCTTCTCTTCACGAAAGGTTCCATTTGAGATCTGTCCTGTAAAAAACCGGGAACCCATCTAACCAAGCAGTAATGTAGGTTGAACTTAAATAATTCAATTCTGTAAAGGAAGTTTTTTACTCGATCAAATCAAATCCCTTACGGAAACCAGCAACAAAGAACCGTTGAGAACAGTTTCACTTATCCAAGGCTTCGCGGGCTAAAGTGCAAAATGTATACCAGAGCTGAGCCTGGTCAGTTGATTTTCCAGCCACTGCAAACTTACTGCAAACTTATTACTATCCATGTGTTTAAGAAATGAGGGAAAAATTCTGGATAATGTGAACCCCTCCATGACTTTGGCGATCTAACACGTCATCGCGCTAAAATCGTTCTAAAAGGCGGAAATAGCAAGAGTTTTGTCTATATTTTTGCTGCTTGCTCCTTTTCCTTGACCTGTCTGCATGATAACCGTGATTAGCGTTCTCCCATTTCTTGGGGCGTGCGATGATCACCAGTAGATATCTGTTCACAGTTTTGGCGAACACTGACGCTTTGCGATTCTTCGTTTTTTGCTTCTCCAGCTCCAGTACTAGTAGAAAGACCAATCCTTCGTCTTTGTTGGCAGAAAAGTATTTTGCGAAATTCTCTCCTGAACACAGGGTTCATGCCTGCGTAGATGAATGGGTTTATTGTATTAGACAGGTAAAGTAAAAATAGGCAAAAGAGTTGAACATTTCGAGGCATTTTCGTGACAAGGCGGAAGCGCTTCGAAATGATAATTAGCCAAAATGGAGCCCAGCACATCATGAAGGCAAAGACAACGAAGAATAGAGATTTACTGAGTCTAATCTCACGAGAAGTGATGCGAGCGTTTCCTCGATTCTGGGTCGTAGACGACGAGGTTGAGTTATGTTGTCGGATCACAAGTGCCACTTTTGTATAGCTGAACATCGTTATCGCTAATGGGATAGCAAGGAAAAGACTAAGAACAATACAGTAATTGATTATTTTTCCAGCGTAGCTGGGAAAGGCAAGGGCGCATATGCCGTATCCCGGAACGAAGGCATAATTTTGAAGACCAGCCAATTTTGGAACCACAGCGTATAAGGCAACGACGAACCACACACAAGCCAGCCAGGTGCGTGACTTCCAAGGAGAGAAGAATTTCTTGTATTGCTGCTCCGATTTGCAAATCCTGAAATATCTGTTAATTGCTGTTAAACCCATAGTTACAGGTGAAACGTAGGCAACAAAGCAGACGAAGAAGGCTTCAAGCTCACACATCACCTCACCGAAAATCCAATCACTGGTTATTAGCACACCAATTCCAAGGGGCATAACAAAAACAGCGGAGAGCAAATCGCTCACAGCCAGAGCAGTGATGTAAAGGTTTGTTGTCGTGCGGAGTCGTGAGTCTTTGTAAATTAAAATGCAAACTAATGAATTCCCTATCAGAGAAAGTACATTTAAGATCGCAAGTGAACTGACTTCCGCAACGATTAAAAGAAGGCTACGAGAATTTAAGTCATCGGCCATTGCAGTAGTACTTCATTCCAATTCCGTTTTTCTTGAGTTTAAGCGCGAGTTTTGCGCTCGCAAGATACCAAAGCATAAGTAAATTTTATTCAATTATATTTTTCCGGCCGACAGGTTTTTCCGGGAGAAATATGACATTTGGCGACGTAAGTGTTAACTTGAATTGTCTCTAAGACTTTGCTAAGTAAATCATCATACATTTTCTCCTTTAATGCCAAAATGTGCCTTGGTGATTAAGTTAACCTACATTATGATTGGGTGAACGAGGACAGCTAGGCAGATATTGTTATTTATTTTTCTTGCTCAATTTTCGCTTTTCTCATTCTGGCTATAAACAAGTGAAGCTACAAATATCTTGATATTTATTCTACAAAAAGCGAAATTAATTCATTGTTGACTTTAACAATGCTGAAACCCAAAGATTGTTTGACTTTCTTCTCACTGTGGTGTCGTATTTCTCCCATAGTATAAGGGCCTTCCGGAAGAGTCTAGTACCTGCCTCGTACCCAGACGTCTCTCTCTCGATGAAAATGTCCCTTGTGGTGCATCACCAGTCACTCGCGTTTCGCGCTCGCCTCTACGATACGAAAAACGAAAAACGAAGCGCCTGAGGAGGAGGCTGGTCTAGTAGTACGGTGACAGGAACGACACTAAGTAAAAAGTTTACTTTTTAATGGGAGCGGTTACACTAGACAGTTTCCCATATCTACCAATGGGGAAATAGCTTGGGTTGGGTTCTCTCTCGGTTTTGATCACTTAGTTTGCGGATACATATCTTATCCCAAGGGATAGTCCCCACCCTATCCCGTAGTCCTACCCTCCCCCCTCGGGCAAAACATTGATAGCTGCATAATCAATAATGATATTGTGTTTAACGAAGGAGAACTCTTACTATTCGAGTCTTTTTTCCTCCGGGATCAAGCGATAAAATGCCTAAGGGGAAGAAAAAACTTAAACCAGGTTTCGCAGTAAACATGGTTGTAAACATTGAAGACTGACTTAAGTCGTAAACGGTTTCGACCATTTTTACCCTTGTTATAAAACCTCCACATTAATTGAGCTTCATAAGAGCGATTTAGCCTTAATGTTGTGACTAAAAACAAAGACGTCGACTTCATTCGCACATAAAAGAAAGGAGAATTGTCAAAAGTATAAGGGTTTTCAACAATGATTTCGACCACTTCTTAAGGAAATAATCACCGCTTGGAAACTTGAGTAAAAAAAGATCGTGCAAACGGTTTTAAGGTGCTTTTGAGTAGCTTACATTCTTTTGTGTGTCTTTGAGCCAGGCGGTCACCTAAAGAGCCAAACAATCTCGACAAAACACCCGATAGAAAGGGAAACTTATACATTTATCAAACAGTTAGCTGCCTCTGGCTGAATATAATTTCTTTTTTTTTACGTTTGGTTATTGCAAAAAAAAGCGCGAAAGACCCGAATTATCTACTATCGTTGAAAAAGGCCAAAGTTTTAGATGCGTCCGAGAAATAGTCATAGCAGCTTTTAACAAGAAGAAGTTTTGGTTGTGTAGTTCCAAAAAATATCCAAACCCCCTCCAGGGAGGGCACTTTTGTTTTAGACTCCCACACCCCTGGAATTTCCGTTCCAGGGGGTACTTGTCATCCCCCCTACCCCCTGGAATTTCCGTAATTTTCCGACTTGGTTGGGTAGCCACTGGAAAATAATATTTCTGTCAAAAATGCCGTTGCACTATAATTTTATGAAAAACATAATTGTTTCAGCGATAAACAGAGAAAAAAAAAATCTTTTTTATTTATGTTTATACAGAGTCAAATAATCTCAATTTTGCCTTGTAGAAGTGTTTCTTTATAGTTAATTTTTAACGGTAAGTCTGAGAACCATGGATGTGGTACCGCCATACACGACACAAGCTCCTGACACAAGTGATGCCATCTCTCAAACCAGTGAACTTCAATAACTTCCTTTCAGTTAACAACACGTTAGAAGAAGGCTTATTAGAACATGACGGGGTGACCACGTTGCACTGAATACCTCAATATAATAGGCCACTTCTGAGTTCGAAAAACCCTCACTTTCAAAATGAGGCCAAGTGCACAACCTTTCTTGTGGAAATGTGTTTTACTTGCACGAGAATGAAAAATCATTTCCATATATCAAAGGCTGAGCACTTAACTTCGTTTTGATACAGAGGCCACGGGGGAACTCGGAAGTTGCCTATCGTATAACAACGCAACAGATAGATAACAGGAAGTTTATTCATTTGTCGACAACAATCGTATTACATAAACTATCGTGCAACCCGTGAAAAAAGCACTTACCGACCGCGCATAAAAGATCATCGATAACAACGATAATTTTTGCTTTGAAACACCGATTAACAGTAAAATAACTGATGGCTTGCTAATCAATCTTACTAGGAACACCCCCTCGGAAATTGTCTCCTTTTGAACCCCCACCCCCCCTCCCCTCTGAAGTTCCGTTGCCCTCCGTAGGGAGGGGGTATGCATATTTTCTGGAACTTCACAATTGAATGAATGCGTCCACTTCTGGCGCACTACAGTGCAGCATAAACTACCACCTGGTGCTCGAAATTTAAAAATGCTACTAGTATTTATGGGCTAATCCAGGCTGCAGTTAGTATTTATCGCTAGCGAGAGGGATATGTTGGGGGTGGGGGTGGGGGGATCGGAGGTCACATCAAAGATATTGCCAGGAGCTTACATTAAAGATCACATAGCGATGTGTTTACACTAAAACTAGAAAACTAGTAAAATCCAATCATGCCAGTTGTTGTTCTTGATTTATCCGCTTATGATTTCAAACACAACTGGGGTTAATAACTTAGTCCTGTGCTCAGGACAGTAACAAAATAAATCACTCCATGGTTTTCACCCGTGCGAAATGTCTCAAGAAATTCTTGGGATTTCCCGAGAACTCCCGGGAATCATTCGCAGGAATTTCCGGAAGATTCGTGAGCGTTAATTTGCACCAACATTCCTGAGAATTTTCGGACTATATTGGAATAGAAACAGGCTAAAAATTTTCTAGAAATCTCGGGAATCCCTGAGAATGATGGTACTCACCGGGTGCGAGGCGTTAGACCGATTTGTCAGTACTTGCTGTAGCTGTAATTAACTCTGTGTAACTGCTTGACCCCGATTTGCAGATCCGTTTTGGTTCGGGCTGCTTAATGTTATCCCAGTGAATCGAACGATCCAAAGACATTTTGTTTTCGGGGTGGAAACAAAATCTACGTGTCTAGACAGTCCGCAAAGGTGACAGTACCTTTGTAGCGAACTATAATTATAATTTATAAATCATTGCAACTTAACCGGCTTCGAGACGAATACATGCACAGGGAACCCGAACGCTAGAAAAATTAGATGTATTTACGCTGTATTAGCTAATAAAATAATAATATGTATTTACCTTTGTTCCTGTGTCTTTGTGAGTCGTTTTGGAAGGGATTTGAATTCGATCAGAGACGTTTAACATTGCTGGTTATCAAATGAGTTTGCTTGTCTGGCGCGTCGTAAATATTAAAGACTCTCAAGTTTCGTCTCACGTTTTTAATATTGTTAACTATTAGCTTTCCCGAGATCATTTCCCAAGGATAGTTAGGGACGGACCATTAGAAAACTTAAGTACAAAAAAAATATATATTCGCGCAAGGGAAAATTAAATGAAAAAAATTCTTGCACGCCAATTAATCCCTAAAAATATTTATGCTGTGGCCTAAAATAAATTCATACAAAGAATTTGATAACGAAAAAAAATTCCTGCGACTCGAAAATTCCCCCCCCCCCCCCCCACCATAACTTTTCTAATGGTCCGTCCCTTAACAATATTAGAAACGTGAGACGAAACTTGAGCGTCTTTATACTTACGACGCGCCAGACAAGCAAACGCATTTGATAACCAGCAATGATAACCGTCTCTGATCGGATTCAAATCCCCTCCAAAACGATTCACAAAGACACAGGAACAAAGGAAAATGTATCTTATTTTATTAGCTAATACAGCGTAAATACGCCTAATTTTTCCCATTAGCTAATACAGCGTTCGGGCTCCCTGTGATACATGTCAGTACAGTCAATACTGCGGTGGTGGAGCTTTTACGACGCTATAAGACGGCATCCAAAGTTGAGACATAAGTATTTTTGATTTATCTATTCAGCTGTAGCATGGGCTCATTGGGCTGGGCAAGCAGGTATGCGGAAAAGGAATTTACTATGTTACAGCGCGGCGCTCAATAGGGCTTTTTTTAGGTTTTCCTATAGTCACGTTCATATCGAACACGTTAGCAGCATTTCAGCTTGCTAAACTGACGGAAAAGAAACTCAATCAAAGAGTCACAATCAATGGGTTTTCTGCATTCGGAGCTATTAGTTAAACTGGGGACATTCCTCAACATTTCCGAATCCATATACTGACAATTGTACACTTTTACACTTCTAAACTTTCATTCCTAGTCAGAAAACGACAAAAATGAAACTAAACATGAACATGGTACATCGGTAAACTTAACTGTGAGTATCTCACTGAAATGCGTAACGATGTATACACTCCACAACATACGCCATTTTCCCCCTATTTTTGTTTAACTTATGTACGTGATGTGGTAAAACGTGAAAGTTTAGTTTAACAAACCAGAGTTTCCCTCTCCTCCCTTATCATCATCAGGGGTGTTCATAGTAACTGTTGTTTCTTTGAGATACAGCTGGCTGCCATTGGGAGTCCGAGTAATGTCCGTTGACGTGACGCAGCTGTCTTGTTGGACGGGTTTCCTCGGCTTCAATGTTAAACTTCGTTTTCGGTTACATGATAAGAATCTGCGGACTTCTCTTCTGAATAAAGGATTCATGCCGGCGTATATGAAAGGATTAATTGTATTGGACAAATAAAGAAGAAATGAGCAAAACAGTTGAACGTTACGCGCCATTTTCCCGACAACACGGAAGCGCTTGAATACAGTGATGATCCAAAATGGGGCCCAGCACATCATGAACGCGAAGACAACAACGAAAAGCGATTTGCTAAGTTTGATCTCCCGTGCACCTATGCACTTATTACGCTGCTGTCGCCTCGTAGATTTAGTCTCCTGGTTATGCTGTCGGATCATCTTTGCAACTTTTATGTAGCTGACTATGGCCGCCACTAAAGGAAAAGCGAGCAATAGGCCTAGGACAATGCAGTAATTGATTATTTTGCCAGTTTCGCTTAGAAAGGCGAGGGCGCAGACGCCATATCCCGGAACGAACGCATAATCTTGAAGACCAACCAATTTTGGAACCACAGCGTAAAAAGCAACGAAGATCCACACACAGGCCAACCATGTTCGTGACTTCAGCGGGGAAAAGTACTTCCTGTATTGCTGCTCTGTTTTACAAATCCTAAAGTATCTGTTTATTGCTGTTAAACCCATAGTAGCAGGCGAGACGTAGGCAACAAAACAAACGAAGAAAGCTTCAATTTTACACATCGTTTCACCGAAGATCCAATCACTTGAGATCAGCACCCCAACACCGAAGGGCATAACAAAAATGGCGGACAGCAGGTCACTCACAGCAAGTGCGATGATGTATAGATTTGTTGTTGTTCGAAGTCGCGTGGTTTTGTAAAACAGATTACAAACCAGAGTGTTTCCTATAAGGGAAAACACGTTTAGAATTATCAAAGAGCTGGCTTCCACGATGGTCAAAGCTAGGCTTCGAGAGCTTAGATCGTCCGCCATTGGTGCTTAAGTAAGAAAGCTTAATAAGGGGTTTCAGTAAACATTAGTTCTCAGTTCCGCAATAAATGTTCCTCGTGAACGCCATATATGGTCTTTCATTTCACTTTCACAGTGTACTAAGCATCAGGTGCGAGACCTCCGCTACGCAAAATCAACAGCAAAAAGTTTCAGCTTTCAGTTTTCAAAATGACATCCTTGTTGGTTTTGGCTTACTTCAACGTGCAGAAGTGAATTTGAAGTCTTGATTATATGTTTAGCTTTCGCTCTCATACTGCCACACAATTGGCATAACTGACGGAAATTCTTGACCACTGCAGTGTACATCAAACTGGACGTCTTCGATTCATTTCGCTTTTTTATCGCAATACAATACTCTGTCTCTTATTTCCGTTTGTTGATGTTGTTGTTTTAGCAATCAATTACCCATTTATGACAATCAATGTGATTTTTTCCCAAAATATTAGGTTTTCCAGTAGTTGACAATTCAGTCTTGTTATAATGAATGGGTCTCGGCTTATAGCCGGGTGTTGTCGATTTATTTTTGGTTCTCGTTATGCCGAGTCTACACGTTCAAAGTTTGGGGTCTCGGCTTATAGCCGAGATCGGCTTATAGTCGAATAAATACGGTAATCTCGCATTCTGAAAAATAAGATTACATTCAGACGGCGGACTAGTATACTATCACGGGCTGCTGCTTATTTTTGCTATAAGAGACTCTTTAAGTTGAGGCGAATTTCTTTAATCGAATATCATTTATTTCTTTATTTCAAGTTAATTAATTTCTTATCTGATTTAATTTATTTCCTTAAAGTAGTTGTCTACGCTTTACTTTCTTATTTAGTAGTGTATTTTTTTTTTCATACATGCGGTTTTTATCACTTTTATATAGATATAGAGAAAAACCTTCCGTGTTGTGTTGCAAGATAAAAGATTTAACATTTTATTGATGACCAGCACTCTCTAACCTATCTTTGGCTGCTAGACACCAGGTAACGTCATGATTTAAATGACCGTCATCTTGGATTTTATTGAAAATTCAAATTTCCCTAATTATGGAGAAAACTATGATTGATAACAGTTGAGGTCTGTGTTACGTAAAAACTAAGCAATTTCCCTTTTGGCACTTATTGGCAGTATATTTATTTGTTTAGTAGCATTATTATTATTATTATTTTTTATGTTTTATTAAGAAACTTAATATGTTCCTTCTGCTTCTCTTCACGAAAGGTTCGATTTGAGATCTGCCCTGTAAAAAACCGGCAACCCATCTAACCAAGCAGCAATGTAGGTTGAACTTAAATAATTCAATTCTGTAAAGGAAATTTTTTAGTCGATCAATTCAAATCCTTTACGGAAATCCGCAAGAAAGAACCGTTGAAAACAGTTTCACTTATCCAAGGCTTCGAGGGCTAAGTGCAAAATGTATATCAGAGCTGGGCCTGGTCAGTTGATTTTCCAGCCACTGCAAACTGATTACTATCTATGTGTTCAAGAAATGATGGAAGAATTCTGGATAATGTGAACCCCTCCATGACTTTGGCGATCTAACCAGTCATCGCGAGTATAGGTCTTAAAATAAAATCGTTCTAAAAGGCGGAAATAGCAAGAGTTTTGTCAATATTTTTGCTGCCAGCTCCTTTTCCTCGACCTGTCTGCATGATAACCGTTATTAGCGTTCTCCCATTTCTTAAGGCGTTCGATGATCACCAGTAGATATCTGTTCAACGTTTTGGCGAAGACTGAAGCTTTGCGATTCTTCGTTTTTTGCTTCTCCAGCTCCAGTACTAGAAGAAAGACCAATCCTTCGTCTTCGTTGGCAGAAACGTATTTTGCGAAATTCTCTCCTGAACACAGGGTTCATGCCTGCGTAGATGAATGGGTTTATTGTATTAGACAGATAAAGTAAAAATAAGCAAAAAAGTTGAACATTTCGAGGCATTTTCGTGACAAGTCGGAAGCGTTTCGAAATGATAATTAGCCAAAATGGAGTCCAGCACATCATGAAGGCAAAGACAACGAAGAATAGAGATTTACTGAGTCTAATCTCACGAGAAGTGATGCAAGCGTTTCCTCGATTCTGGGTCGTAGACGACGAGGTCGAGTTATGTTGTCGGATCACAAGTTCCACTTTTGTAGAGCTGAACATCGTTATCGCTAATGGGATAGCAAGGAAAAGACTAAGAACAATACAGTAATTGATTATTTTTCCAGCGTGGCTGGGAAAGGCAAGGGCGCATATGCCGTATCCCGGAACGAAGGCATAATTTTGAAGACCAGCCAATTTTGGAACCACAGCGTATAAGGCAACGACGCTCCAGACACAGGCCAGCCAAGTGCGTGACTTCCAAGGAGAGAAGAATTTCTTGTATTGCTGCTCCGATTTGCAAATCCTAAAATATCTGTTAATTGCTGTTAAACCCATAGTTGCAGGTGAAACGTAGGCAACAAAGCAGACAAGGAAGGCTTCAAGCTCACACATCACCTCACCGAAAATCCAATCACTGGTTATTAGCACACCAATTCCAATGGGCATAACAAAAATAGCGGAGAGCAAATCGTTCACAGCCAGAGCAGTGATGTAAAGGTTTGTTGTCGTGCGGAGTCGTGAGTCTTTGTAAATTAAAATGCAAACCAATTTCTTCTCGCTGCGGTGTCGTATTTCTCCCATAGTATAAGGGCCTTCCGGAAGAGTCTAGTACCTGTGTCGTACCCGGACGTCTCTCTCTCGATGAACATGTCCCTTGCGGTGCATCACCAGTCACTCGCGTTTCGCGCTCGCCTCTACGATACGAAAAACGAAAAACGAAGCGCCTGAGAAGGAGGCTGGTCTAGTACGGTGACAGGAACGACACTCAGTAACAAGTTCGCTTTTAAATGGGAGCGGCTACACTAGACCTTTTCCCATATCTACCAACGGGGAAATAGTTTCGGTTGGGTTCTCTCTGGGTTTTGATCACTTAGTGCCGATACATATCTTATCCAAAGGGATAGTCCCCACCCTATCCCGTAGTCCTCCCCCCCGGACATAACATTGATATCTGCATAATGAGTGTGTTCGACGAAGGAGAACACTTACTATTCGAGTCTTTTTTCCTCCGGGATCAAGCGATAAATTGCCTAAGGGGAAGAAAAACGTTTCGCGGTAAACGTGGTTCTAAACATTGAAGACTGACATAAGTCGTAAACGGTTTCGACCATTTTTACCCTTCTTGTAAAACCTCCACATTAATTGAGCTTCACAATAGCGATTTAGCCTTAATTTTGTGACTAAAAACAAAGACGTCGACTTCATTCGAACATAAAAGAAAGGCGAACAGGCCATTTGCACTAAGAGGTCATGTGACATCGTTTTTATGAAAATGAGAGTTATATGATTTTGCCTTCGACAAGCGATTAGTGGGTCATATCTTAAACAAAATTGTACTGAGTTGGTTTTTCAAACCCGCACCATTTTCTTAAAATGAGTAAGTCGGTAGCTGGTCACGTGACCAAAATGTCATTTTCAAAATCATGAATTACTTCTTTCTAAACACAAATTTTGCACTTAAACTTCAAGGAAAATGCTGAAAAGATGATGTGGTAACGTTTACAGCACATCTGAGCGTAACTTTCAAATGTTTAACAAGATATAAGCTAGCCTGCATAGCAAGCGTTTCCTCGCGAGGTTCATCTAGAAAAGTGGGACAAGAGCAAAAAAAAAAAAATGAATGACGGGGGAGGGGGAGGGGAATGAAGGAACCGCTTGCCCGCAAACCCCAAGATTTTGAAAACTGCGTTCGCCCACGAACGCAGCTTCTGATTGGCGCGCTGCGGGTAGTGTTGATTACTTATCATTGGAAACATCAATCAAACCAGGTTTGCTTTGTTTTCGTGCGTCACAGGTCTGGTCTCATCTGATTTGTGGTCGCAGATTACAAATGCTTTGGACTGATATTTATTTGAATCGTGTTTGTGCGAAGGTTTATGAGATCAGAGTCTTCAAAGTATAATTGGAGATCGAGCAGTGGAGGCTAGGGAAGGCCAATTTATTGAAAATGACGTCGTGCGGATCTGACTGGAAAAAATGGACTGTTTGTTGGAGATAACATCAACATAAATCAGAACATCGGTACTCGACACTAGCTAAAGCCCCCATGGACAAGCGATTTGTCAGCTTTTTGAAATGAAAAGATTCTTTTTGTTTACTGGAAATTTATTGGCATCTATTGTAGAGAACGTTCGACAAAGGCTGAAGAGCAGCCGCTCTGCAAAACTTATACCCGGACGGAGTGAATTGTTCCGGACAAATTATTTTTGACGTGTCGACAAGGTTTCAGACGAGATAACGCCACACAATGAAAAACAAGAAATTCCGCAGCAATCAAGCAATCATTCATATTTTTAACTTTCTTTCATCGCCTGCAACGTGTTCTATTAGAGAACAAAGTAATTTTACAAATCTGGTAATCCAGCGGTAATCTGTTCGTTATGTTTCTATTTTCACGAGCTGTCAATTTACAAATGGACCGAACCGTGAAATATCAAGGGGCGTTTTCCAGAATCGAGAGGTTTGCGGGCAAGCGTTTCCTCTTCTCCCCTCTCCCTCCCCCTTCAACCTTTTTTTTGCTTCCGCTCTAACTTTCGCGCAATAACTCGACTGGAAACGCCTGCTACGCAGGCTAGATATAAGCAAAAATTAGTTTTTGCCGCCATGTTGGAGGGCAAGAGAATGCCCTCCAACATGGCGGCCAATACAAATCATACTACTGTTGAAAAATCAAAGTGCCATAAAATAGCTCCCTTAAATGCGTTTCCTCTCAAATTTCGGGTGTAAGATAATGTTTATGTGCTTTGTCAATTTTTGGCATCACCAAGATTCCAACTCATTATTTAAAGAAAGCACTGGTCACGTGACCTCTTATTGCGAGTGGCCTATTGTCAAACGTATAAGGGTTTTTTTCAACGATGATTCCCACCACTTCTTAAGGAAAGAATCACCGCTTGGAAACTTGAGTAAAAAA